AGAAGAAATAAAAAGTTATTAAAAAAAAGTTAAGAGTATATTTTATATAGCTATTATAATTAAACTAGACGTTACTTTTACTTATTCGTAATTATTATAGTTCCTAACTAACCTAAACATAACCTATATTAAAATAATTAATTATTATATTTAATATCTCTATATAATAAAATATTTTATGCTCTATTATAGTAGTATACTAAGTGCGTAATTATTATTTTTAACTAAAAATACTAGCTTTATAAATAACGAGGTAATATAACGATTATTTTAAAAATATATAATATTCTTTTTTAATAGCCTAATTTAATAAAAATTAGTATATTAAGTAATAGTTACGACGTTAATTACCGAAGCTAAGTTTTTTTATTTTAAGGAAACTATAAAAGAGATTATAGCTCTAAAGCGCCTTTTTAAAAATATTACCCTTAACCTAAGAGAAGTATAGTTAGTTAATTATAATAATTAGTAAATAATTTAACTCGTCGTAGGAGAAAAAAAAAGAATAGTTACTTAACTTTATTATATTAATATATAGAATATATAACTAAAATAAAAATACGTAAGAGGTAGTTTTAAGGTTATTTATATATTAATAAAAGATATATTAGTAAATAGACTTACTAAAAACCTTTTACGAGCTAAGTTTAAATATTTTTATATACTTTTTAACTTTTATAATACGCAAAAAGTTATTATAAATAGCTAAAATAGTTAAAAATAATTAATTTAAGTTATACTTAGAAAAACTTAATACCTAAAAGTAAATAATAAATAGAACTTAAAATACGGCCCAGAGGCTTAAAATAAATAAAATAAAAACCTCTTATAGCCTAAAAGCCTAAACTTTTAAAATAACTTTACTTTATAAAATATATATATATAAAAATAAGACCCGGGCTTATACTTACTATTTAAACTCCTAGTTTATAAAATATATAATTACTAAGAGTATAGCGTTATTAAAGAGGAGAGTTAATATATATATTAAAAAATACGTTTTACGTACTTTAAAGTTTATAAAACTAAGAATAATAAAAATAATAAAAGGCGTAAGAGCTAAAATAATTATTAAATTAATAACCTAGGGTATAAAAGCGGGTAATATAATAAGAAATTAGTTATAAATAATTATAATAAGTATAAAAGAGGACTAGGGGTATAAGTTAAGGAAGTCCTCTATATAAAAGCTAATATAGTTCTTATATAGCTTTTAGTTATTAACTATTTAGTAAATAATACTACGGAGCTTAGTAATATTTTATTAAAACTATAATTAAAAGTACGCTTCTTAATAATAAAAAAAAATAATATATTTATAAAAAAGGGAGCGCTATTTATAATAATTTTAATAAGAGCCTAGGCTATTAATTATAAAATAACCGGTATATTAATATAACCCTTAGCTAAATAGCCGTTAAAATAGCGCGTATACTAATTACTACTTTTTATAAAATAATAACTACTATCCTTAGGGTTAGTATATTAAAAAGTTATTTTAAAATAAGGTAAGTATTAAATCTCCTATTCTTTAAGAGCCTCTCCCTTAAGCTTCTTAGGGACTAAGTATATATTAAATAAGCTTAGAATAATAAAAAGAACTATATTTATTATAAGGGGTACTTTTACTTCTTAGCGTTCTTTTTTATTTTTTATTATTTTTTTAAAAAGAGTTAGCTTTATATTTTTTAAATTTTAAAATAATATTAAATATAAACTTTTAAAATAATAAGTATATAATATACTTTTTTTAAAGGGCTTATTATTTAAACTAATCTTATTTTTATTTTTAAATTTTAAAAAGGGGATAAGTAAAAGCTCGTTAGAGCTCTTATTATTACTATTTACTTTATTATTACCCTTATTATAATTACTAAAGAGAGCCTCGAACTTAATAAAGTCTTTAGTATTTTAATTAATAACTTTAATATTCTCTTAACTAAAGAGAGAGAGCTTAGTAACTAAGCTTTAATAAATAAATAAGAAGTCGTAGGGGGGGGAGACGATTTAAAAGGGCTCGTTAATATTATTACTTATTTAAACTCTTAGTAAATTATATAATATATATATAAGAAGTATTATAGAAATTATATAAAACTTATTATTATTTCTAAATATATTAGATATTTATATTTAAAATAAAATTAGTAAATAATTTAACGGTATAGGTATGTGTATATAATAAATAGGGGTACTTATAATAATTATAAAAAATTAAAAAAAAAAAGAAAAATAATAGCTAAGTAATGCTATAAGAATTTAGATATATATAAAGTAGTTAAGTAGCCTTACTCTTAGTAATTTATATACTAAAAATAATATAATACGTACTATTCTAAGTTAAGATTTTATTTATTTTAAATAAAAAGATATATTTATCATAAACGTAGTTTAAAAAATACGTATTCCTTATATTTTTTTTTTTTTATTTATATTTAACTAAATTAGGCTTTTATAAGGGTATTTAAAGATTTTATTTTAAGTATAATAACTCCTTAGTAATAGTAATTAGAGGGTATATTACGTAATAAGGATAGTAATCGTATTTTATAAAATGCCCGTTATATACTAAATTATGTATTTATTTTAGATATTATATATATAGACCTTTTCTTTTTATCTATTTCTATTTTAATAGTTAAGCTACTTTTATTATACTCTATATGCTTATTGCTGCGTGCTATAACTCGTGACACGTTTCGTATACCCCGCCGGAGGTTTCCCCACTTCACAGTACTTAGCCGCTCCCGCTTCTCTTCATCGCAGAATTGACAAGCCATGTGAAATCGCGGTACTGGGAATTCGGATGGGTAAGACCTATACGCACTGGTCTCGGACTAGCACTGGAATACTGTTTTGAGAGGCTCTAAGCTCATTAGACTCTCTAAGCAATTGCAAAGTGCATAAATCTATCAGCGTTCAGATCTTCACCATGAGAACGCGGAGTTGCTGATGAAGTACTAATAGATGAACGCGTTTTCCATCTTCTCCTCCTGATTTTCTTCTGTCTCCTCATCACTGGAAATGCAATAATGACTCAGGCAGCAGTGTCTTCTGGGCGAACCAATGAAAGGTACCCACGTAGCCCATGAAGACAGCAAATCTCAAAACGCATTGAGCAAAACAGAGAAGATACTTAGAGTCGTTCTTGGCATTATGGTATCAGGCGTGCGTTGCCATTCCGTAAATCGAGTAAGGTAAGAAAATTAAACATCTATATCAGTACAGGCCTCTCCTGGCTCAGATACATAACCAAGCGTCATCCAGGTCTGTCTACCTCTGCGTGAGCTCTCATTTTCTGCCATCACTAAGCCCCGCCTGCCATCCCGCCTTGCGTGCTTATGTCGGGCACAGCTTGTGGCGCAGGCGTCGAAACAATGCTGCCTCGTTCAGTGGCTTAGCAGCTTCGCCCACCTCATTTTTGGTGGCTTTCTCGGTTTTTTTCAAGAACAATGTTGGTGTAACAGACAAAGTATGCTACCTGCCGGCAAGGCGACAAAATGTCTCAGGAGAAGACGAAAGCGTATGGGGTCCTATTTTAGTCGTGTGGCGTTAGGCAGACGCTCAGAAATGTCTCTTTCGATTGAGGCCTCCTGTCAGATACATAAGATCAACCTATTGGAGAAGACGAGCTTGGGAAGTTCAGCTTCCTCCACGTCTGATACGAAAAAGTTGGCCGTTAACTACACTGCCTTAGTTTATACGAAACCTTCGTAATGATCAGACTTCACTGGTTCACCGTTCACGGAGTCTACCTCCTCACCCAATTTGCTTTTACGATGGCTGGCATCGTGGCCTTTGTATCAATGCCATTGGAGTTCAATCACCCGATATCGCCCGCAATTCCATGGGGATCCTCTGCTCTAGTGCGTTGAGTTTCTCGGTCCCTCCCCTCGCAAAGCTGACCATTCAGAATCTTTTCGGACCGTATGCTGACCGTTGGAGCACTTTTAGAGCTGTTTTTCACTCTTCGTAAACACACTCATTTTGTCCGCAATCTTTTCATCTCAACGGCCGAACACCTTGATGACCGAAGAGAGTCGTCTGAATAGCCGCCGCATCACACTCCTCATCAGCGCTTTATCTGCTGCGGGATTCGCCGCCGCAGACTGGGCTTTTGCCCTATCATTTCACAAGTATGGATCAACTGGCCCCGAAAAGGCGGCCGGCGTTGTAGCCGGGGTGGCCTCGTACGTGAAGAAATACCTGACTCCCACTCAATAATCTGGATACAGGCTGACCAACTTATGTAGATTTGTCGCGGTCGCTGCCGCGGTAGTAGATATCTGGAAAATCTGCGCAGATGCCTCAGAGGCTCGGGCTGCCGAGTTGTTTGACCGAGAGCAGCTTGCTGATGTAGAACCGTTTACTGATAGTTGAAGAGCCAGAAGGGTGATGAAAGGCCTCGATAGTTAAGGGAATTGTATAATATTGCATCATAATCTAGCTCCGCGACATCATCGATACGTACCTACCACACAAAGTAAGCTTCTTCATCTTCATCTTCGCTTGTTTACGAATTGAATTGAAGAGAGACGCTGTCGGATCCTTATCTCATCATGAGGTGGTGCAACGCACGTTAAAACCATCTGCTCAAACATGTAGATCTTTTGAAACACTTCCTCACGTCTGGGATGCAAAGGTGATGAGTCAAAAAATGAGGGTTCCCTCGCACCACAATATTGGGACATATGGGGCTAGATCGCCGTCTTTGGAGTATGGATGCAGTGAATGCCCCAAAAACCAACAGCCTGATTGTGAATAAAGAACGCGCGGACGTACATAAGCGAAGGAATGGCTGACCTCGAATGTCTTACAGCTGAACCAGGTCTCAATATGCGATTCGTCGAGCCAAGAAAGTCGGCCTGACACTGCCGCGGACCAATAAAGCCACGCGTCTGCTACAGGGAGCACTACGCGTGATCTACCAAATATCCAAGGGAGAATGATTTGATAATCGGAACCGACCTTTCCAAGTTACTTTGACCTCGCAAAGGATGATGTCGTGGTTGTTCCGAGCACGGAAGAAAGACGACGGCTTTTCTACTATTGAGGACTTCGGCGATCTGGACATACAGCAAAAGTGCCGTGGCTGCAAACAAATTCGGGCTCTTTTCGATTTCCACGGGCGCCATAACATTCTTCCACCCAAAGCTGTTGTTTTTCACGAAGACTATGCCTCTCTCGACAGATGTGCCCAGCTCTGCGTCACTTGCCGCATCTTTCGTCAGGCGCTGCTTCTCGAAGGCGTCACTGCCGACCATGCTGCTGTGTTGGGGCGTTCGTCAGGGTCGGTTTGCGCGAAGTTGGTTGTTGAGGATGGTGGCTTTGCGATAAAGATACACGTCAACGAAGATGGAGAAAGCAAGATGCCGGTGGCGACGGTCAGCTGTGCACCGCTGATGGACCCGAAGCCTCCTATGAAGCTTCCGGTGAATTCAGAGGACGATAAAATCTTTCAGCAGATTAAAGATTGGCTCCGCGTGTGTGAACAGTGTCACATTGACTGTGGCAACCTCGCGTATTCGGACCGCATGCCCACTCGGCTTCTTCACCTCCTCTCTGACTCACGAGCGCAGCTAGTCGATAGCGAGAATTTGATGAACGGCAAGGCCCTTCGTTATACGGCACTGAGCTACTGCTGGGGAACTGGCACAATCAGTGGTGATGAGAACGAGCTAATCGAACAGGGAAAAACGCTGAGGGCCAACTTGGAGAGTCGATATCGACCGTTTGACACTGGAAATCTTCCAGGCACAGTACGCGATGCTATCAAAATCACCCGGCGATTGAGCGACCCAGATAACGAGCTTGAGCTTTGCTTCCTCTGGGTTGACTCGCTGTGCATAATCCAGGATGACGTCCAAGATAAAAAGGTGGAAATACACCGTATGCAGGAAGTCTATGGTAACGCCGCTGTCACCATTTGCGCGACAATGTCGGCTAAGGCCACGCAGCCGTTGCTAACGCCGCGTCTCGCGTGGTCAAAGCAAATCAAGCCATGCCGCGTCGGCACCTCCTGGCTTACCGTGAAATCCACGGCGCCTGCTGGTCTCCGATCAAGAGCTCCGTTATTCCTTCGGGCATGGACGCTTCAGGAGGAGCATTTGTCGCCGCGACTGCTTTTCTGGGGTGGTCAGCGATTCAGCTGGGCTTGTGGGCGTGGCGAGTATGCCGAGCAGACATCTTCTTCTGTCTCTCTAGATACTTCTACCGTTCATGTACGCAAATTTCTTGCTGAGTGCCGTATATCGGAACCAGAGGAGCTCTGGCTTGCATGGAACTCAGTTGTAGAGTCATATACGGCGCGGAGCCTGAGTAACCCGGCAGATAGATTCGATGCGTTGGCGGGACTAGCGACGCGATATTTAACTGCTGTTTCCGGAAACAACGAGTATATGGCAGGTTTATGGCGGGCAACATTTGCGCAGGACCTCCTGTGGCGTGTTTCAAGACCACCGGGGCTCGACATAGGATGGCCAGGCACGGCAGGAATCCCAAGCTGGTCTTGGGCGAGTCTTCCTATTGGCCTGGGGGCTTGTATGTGGCACAAATTTAAGATGTCGACTAAGGTGGAGTTACTCGGCGACGGTTCAAGTTTGAATGTCGAGCCATCAGAAGCGGTTGCTCAAGGTGCGCGTTTGGTTCGTGTCCGTGCTCGAGGGCTCCTAAGGAATCTTTGGAGCCCCGGATCACAGCTTCGAGAGTGGGGCGATATTTGTGTCTGCGTGGACGGTGTCAATAAGTTCAGCTTTGGTTCTAGCCCGGGCCAGGATGTCCATGCTGTCGATTGCCTCACAGGCAAATTGGTTGTGTATGAGGCGCGAAAGCAGGAGATTGTCGCCGAACTGGACTACTGCAGGCTCGCGAAGGATGTCAATGAGAGACTGTTATTGGAGGTTCACTGTCTCGCCATCTCTGAACATGGAATGCTTCTGCTGCGCCATCAGAATGACACAGGTTCTTTCGAAAGAATAGGCATTGGCTTTGGGTATCGACGAGATTTCTTTAAAGGGCTGGAGAAGACAGAAATTGTTCTGGAATAAGCAAGCATGCTAGCGAGAAATGGTTTGGTTCACAGATTGGAGCGATGTGATGTGATAAAATTACTCTTCAAGAACTCGATTCGTGACAAAAGAAACGCCGTAGGTGAGGATATAAAAGTAGCAGAACTCCGGCCTTATAGAGGTAAGCTGAAGACTTATCACGATTTCAGACCCATGACATCTGATTGACAGGTTATAGCATCAATCCCCGACTCGTTCCTGAACATTTTGGGAGTGTGAGCTAAGGGAGCCCATAACTCATTATTTTGTTGGAGTCTATTGCCTTATACGGCGATCTCATGCACCACTACAGTCCCATCATCTTCTAAACACATACGCTTCTTCTAATGGCCGCTAGATCTTAGTTAAGTAATATACTAATAACACAAATTCGTACGTCGTTCGAAAAACTAAGATAATATCTTCAACTATACTTTTTAAAATATCATTATTTTCCAACTTTTTATTAATAAATAGCTTTAAGTAAATTGAAATTCACTAACTAATTTTAAGTAAAAGATTTATATTAATAATATTAATGAAGATTAAACTATATAAGTCGTTATAATATATTATAACCGCTGCGGCTTATAGGGCGTGTGTTAGTTCTAGTTATATATACTGAGTTATGATATATTATAATATAATTATAATTATTAATACTATTTATTTAATATTAGAGCTCTAATCTTTATTATTATATTTACCATAACCAGTTAGCCGTGATATATACCCTAGTTTATTCAAGTGTCTATGAGAAACGAGCTGTGTACTAAAACAAAAAATCTCAAATTTTAAGCCGCAGCGCGACCTCGGGTCTCATAGGGCAGGACTAAGAATATTAGACCAGCCAAAATAAACAAGGCTGCCGAAACCCAGACGGGGTAGTCATTGTCAATGCCAACATACGCCGCAATGATAGGAGCAATGAGACCACTCAGGCGGTTGAACAAAGCTACTAAGCCATTGGCAGTACCACGAACTGGAGCAGGAAAGAGTTCTGGAGTATAAGAGTACAGGAGTCCGTATACCAGATTCTGAAAGAAGGCAATAGCGCATGAAAAACCTAGAACACTAGCCTGGGTAGTGGCGCGGGTGAACAGGAACAGGAAGACACCAGTTGACAAGCAAGCGATCGTTCCAGTACCCTTTCGGCCAATACCCTTCAGGTCGACAGTGAAACCGCCAAGGAGCGAAGCTGGGATACCGCAGACAGCCTGGATGGCATAATTCCGGTACACATCGTTAGTGGATTTGGCACCTGAAGTTACGCCCTTGTTCTCAAGGTAGATAGGGATAAACGAATTGTAGAGCGGATAGGCCATCCCAATAGAACACCAGAGGAAGATCATCAAAGTTGTAGAAAGGGCCATACGAGGGCTGGAGAAGAGCACACGAATTTTGCTAAGTGAAAGCTTGTGCAAACTTCTCTTGATGATGTCCTTGTTGGTATTGTCCGGCGCAGTAGTCTCCGTGCGGGTAGCATTCAGTTCAGCGTCAATAGACTCGAAGCGGGACACAGTGAGCCACGAGGTCTTCCCATCTCTGGCGGCAATCTTCTGAATAGTATCAACAGCCTGCTGATCTAGACCCCTGCTGAGAAGGAACTTGGGAGTCTCGTATACTCGAAAGAAGAGTCGAAGAAGGAACATGGTGAGAGTAATACCACCGAAAGTCCAGTAGGTGTAGCGCCAGCCCAAGTTGTTGCTGTATGTGCAGCCAGCCTCAGACTTTGGATCGCATGAGTAATTGGCGATGAGCGGCCAGGCAACCAAAGCTGCTACTGCCTGACCAACTGACCAGAAAGCAGATTGCATTGTAAGGAGGTACTGGTGAGTAGCAGGGATGTACTCCAGAAAGATAGCGCTATCGACGGGTTGGTTGCCGCCGGTACCTATGCCAATGAAGGCAGTGAAGATAGCAAGGGCTACGAAGTTGGGACTTCCAGCCCCGATCAAGCCGCTGACTGAGGAAATAAGCAGGGTGATGTTGAAAGCCAAGCGGCGGCCAATGATGTCGGCTGTCATGGGCCAGACGGAGGAACCAACGACGAGACCGGCATATTTGGCGAGGGTAAGAAAAGCAATGCGCTTTACTTGGAATTCGTTTCGAACGGGGGGACCGATGATGGTGATCGCCTGCATCCAGAACTAAATACCTGTTAGCTGTCTCGTCGTAAGCTCATGTGGGATCTGACACTCACGTTATCCACAAACCATCCGAATCCAGTCATGGCAAATACCTTCCATTGGAAGCTGCCCATGCTGATGTCTACCAAAGCTTGGTTCATAACAGCGACCTTTCGTTGATAGACTTCGCTGACGCCGGAATCAATACCTCGCATATCAATTCCGTTTTCGCTAATCATCTCGACTTCTCCCTTGGAGTGGGAGATGCCGGTGGCAGTTTTCTCGACCGGCGGTGTGTCTTCAACATCTTTCTTGTCAGGCGCCATCGCAATGATGTGAATCCGTGAGCGGAAAGAGAGATATACAATAACAAGGTAGCCTGAGGTAAAGACGATCGAGAAGATTGAGAATAATGGTATGGCTGATCTTTGTTCCAGGGATCCCAGACTTGACATGCCTATATATCTTGCCCGTCTAAGGTTTTAGCAACAGCTTCATTTGATAGGTCAAAATCAAGTTGGAGATCGGGACTGTGCGCGTGGTAGATTCTGGGTAAAGGCGATAAAGGCAAGGCCCTAGATTCTAATGGATATCAATCCAATTTCGCCATGTTTTTCCCAAACAGGAAAGGGAACACGGTCAGGGAAGAGATAATGACTTTGTCACCCCGGACAGCCTCGGTGCTGTAGTCTAATCCCTTGGAACTGGCTGACTGTTGGGTCGGCGCCTCGAATACTCCATTTCCGGTGTAGCGCTATCTGCAACGGCAACCGAAGTATTGCGTAAACAACTCGGTATTCGGATTGTCCCGCTTCAAATACTCCAAACTTGGTATAACGCGGATATGTCACCTGCAACCTTCGCATTCCACACTCCGATCGGAGAGAATCTAATTTCCTCTTTGGGCGGCTGAATTACTTTTTCCATGGTCAAGTGTAGAATAGTACTATTCGTGACTGGTATGACTGCCGACTTGTTCTTTTATTGCGCTTTGAATACCCCAGCTATGGTATAGTGCGTGCTTGCTTTCCCCGCACTTTCTCTATGTTTTGAGGGAATAGAGGAGTCAGAGTGGACATTGGAATGGCCCTGTATTTTATTACTGGACATGAAAATTGCTAATTCCTGTCTATGTTTAGTCGCACGGATGTATATATATATATATATATATTTATATATACCTATCTACTGGAACCACCAAACATCGGATAAGATAACATTATCAAGCTACAACTTTCCCAGTCGCATCTTGATTAAATTTTGTTCTCTCACCTTTTGCCGAGAGACCCCAAACGGTCGCCATGGCTCCCCCCATCTCTGTCGAAAGCGTCCCCAGCCTGGACGCCTTCAAACCTGTCAAGGATGACACTTACACACCGAGTTTTGCTCCCTTCAACCCCGCTAAGCATTTGGCGTATTCCCCTCCCTCCAAGGTCCTCACCATGAAGGACCTTGCTCTAGAACCGACTGTCCTGTCCCCCATCGCAACAACCGAGCCTTTCCCGCTTCTCTCTCAGGAGGCCATTCTTCGTTATCGCCAAGACTTATTCAGCAAAGATATCCTGGACAATTGCCTCCATCACACTCGCCCTGGATCTGTCCAGCTTCGAGGCATGGCACCGCGTTACTCCACTTTCATCCACGATCTATGGCATTCCCCCGAAGTTCTCAAGATTGTGAGCGACGTTGCTGGTGTCCAACTCGTTCCTGCCATGGACTATGAGATCAGCCACACCAATGTCCAGCTTGGACCAGGTGGTCTCGATGCGGTTCGGAAGACACCCGTTGTACCTCCTGAAGCTACTGAAGAGGCTATCAAGAACTTTGAGGCCGAAAAGGGCCAGGTCAGAGCTGTCACTGATCAATCAAAGCCTATTATTGAGTGGCACAAGGACTCGCATCCTTGGGTCTGCGTTGTTATGCTCTCGGATGCTCGTCATATGACTGGTGGCGAGACTGAGTTGATGAAGGGAGATGGTACCACCGTAAAGGTGAAGGCGCCGCAAATGGTAAGCATCAACGATAGATGAAATATGTCTTTCAACCCTGACGTTTACAAATTGCAGGGCTGCGCCGTCCTTCTCCAGGGCCGTTACATCTCCCATACCGCCGCTCCCGTCGAAAACATGCCCGAGCGCGTCACGGTCGTCACCTCATTTCGCCCCAAGAACCCGCTCCTTGTCGACGATACGACTAATGCCAACGTTAAAAACAAGTCTCATCTGACCGAGCTATACTACCAGTGGACCACCTACCGATTGGAGGTCATGGCTCATCGTGCTCGTAGTGCTTTGGCCGAGTTGCAGGAGAGGTATGCGAAGAACGTTGCCGAGTCGGATCCTGAGGGAAAGCCTGGTCTCTGCAGAGTTGAGACAGTGAGTTCGGAGGAGATAAACAAGTGGTGTGTGGAGATGATCAAGTATCTTCAGGATACCACTAGTGAGATGGGACTGTCTGGAAACAAGGCCTAGAAGGTTGATGGATTATTGAGTTTAGTTAGTATTGCTGCTAGCAGCCTATCCTTGATATGAAATGCAATCTTTAGAAGATATAACCGATGTAGTAATGATCTTGTAGAATGTCGAGTCTTTACTGTAGTAAATACTCTTGTATTGTTCGGTGATAACGCGAAATCTGATGATATGATTTGTTTTGGTTGTTTTTAGCAGGCAATACCTTCGAGCTTTTAAGCCTTTGCAAATAAAAGGACCCTTCAGCTGAGGCATTTTGTGCTATTCCACTTGGGGCATTAGCTCCATATTTATGTCTCCACACCAAATCACTGGGCCCAAAGATAAGTTGCTTTTCCCCGCCTGCCCTGCCGATGTCAAAGTCGAGGTCGTGCTACGGTCACACCAAGAGCCGCTCCTCTATAGAGAGATGAGCTTCGAGTCTTCGAGTAAAAGATCGAGAGATGGCTGTTGGACATGCAGAAGAAGGTACAGTCTGAGCCCGTCAGATTTGCTTGCTTACTTACACACCCTAGACGAAAGAAGTGCGATAGCGCAGTCCCCGTATGCGAGAATTGCCAAAGACTGGGTCTTGACTGTGACAGGGGCACTCGACTTGTATGGGAAGATGATGCGCGGAGAGACGGTATGAGAAGAAGAGGTCCCTTACCTAGGAAGTCGACATCTGAGAAAGTCAGAGGGATACCAGTGTCCACTCCCGGTAGCTCACCGTCCAATGCTCTCATGCTCTTGCCAACGCCGTCGCCTTCGCTTGGTTCACTCAATACGGTATCGGCTGAAGACTTCCGACTGTATCCCAGTTTGTCTGACTGGTCGTCCCATCTTGACCCACTGGACAAGCAGATCCTGGACCGCTATACGAAGTTCTTCTCGACAACTTACCCAACCTGCAAAGATGCCTCTAACCCTTTTCTCAACGTTCTGATACCACTGGCTATGAGACATCGAACTGTTCTCGATGCCATGCTTGCCCTCAGTTGTGTTCAGAGCTGGGAGAACGGACAATTCACAATGCGTGCCCCCATGCTACGGTATAGAGCCAAGGCAATTAGAGGATGCAGCGACCTCGTCAAGAAAGTCATCTCAAACCCAGAGGCCCGTGAAGACGCATTCAGCCAAGGCCAGAATACCTTGATTCCAGTCATCACCCCACGAACCACGGAGATCGTTGAAAACGATGGTATCATCCCGCTACTGGCAACATCCGTTCTACTTATGCTCTATGAGAAACTCCACGGAGAGGGTAAAGAAAACGGAACAAGCCACTTGCAGCTATTCGCTCAGCTCTTCCCGTCCCAGCTCTTCAGCAACATTTTGGACAGACTTACGCAAACTTCTAAGACGGGCTATCAGACCGACGCGATGCTTTTTCTTTCCAATTCATTCCTATATAATGATCTTGTACGGTCTACGTCACTGCGAACCACGACGTTATCAACATTCTACCATGAGAGACCATCATCACCCTCAATATCGCATCGCTTTTATTTCCCCACTATCATAGCTCGCATAGGCGCCAATGATATGTTAGTATCAGATGCCGATATTATTGCCTGGGACGGAACGCTCAATTGGCTACCGAGTCTGGCCCTTCAATTCTCCGGTCAGAGCGAACAAACCGACTTGCGACTACTCTTAGACTCAAGTTTGATATATGGCCCCACCTTTCAAAAGCTCGAGTCCTTCGTGTGTATTAACACATGGAGCGAAGAGAAGCTGATTTCTGAGCTCTACAGAGTAGCAGCTCTGGTCTACAGAAGACAGCAGCAGCCAGACAAGTCCTCTTCTGCCATGGGCAGCCTCCCCGGATGGGCCATGGAAATTTTACGTCTCATCCCGCCGAGCTCACCGTATGGGACAGCTCTTCTCTGGCCAATCGCCCTTGTTGGCCCGGCATTAACCGATTTGGAACACCGAGAATACGTATTTAGTCGTCTGCAGATGTTGGAGCAGCAGTGCAAGATAAAGACGTATGCTAATATCGCTGAGCATTTGGTCAACCTATGGGGATGTCATGATAACGGCAGCCCTTCTAAAAGCCAGTTAGCGTATTTGTTCGGATAAATCACCACTCAATACTTTCGTTCATCTTGATTAATAGTTTTGGTTAATCATTACTACAGCACGTTTTTTAAGAAAATAAATATGATAATACGATAAACTGTTAAAAGGAGACCAAAGCCGCTATAGATCGCAAAAACGCCGCTCTCGTCACCCACCGTCTCCCACCACAAGTGTAGCATCACAAACGTCAAGAAAAAAACATACAACACCGGGTATTCGCTGATCGTCACCGACTCAACTACTAATCCGGCCCTCATTAGCTTATCTAAGGGAGAGCGGACGGGATCCCGAGTTTTCCAATGGGTATGGTCGTATGTGAAGGTGTTTCGAGACCTGCGAGTTTATAATGCAAGTAAGGCCAGCAGGCAGCGCTGTACATCTCAATCTATGCAATCAAAATGACATTAAAACGGTGGTTAAGACTTGAGGGGAATCCGGCTCTTTGGATTTACTACACATTATATCTACTATCGCTATTTCTGACTGAGATAGTGAAGTACGGCTCAACACCATGGCGTCTCAATGAACACCAACTTCGAACAGGTCATAATGTCTACCTAAGTCATCTTGGACTTGAGAGCCGGAGATGCTAGCCACGAACTCGGTGTTCATCTTCCCAGCTCCTTGCCCCGACCACCTCGTGGCAAACACCACCACCGAACATTTTGTGGCGAATAGCGGAACATATCTGGCACTGATGATAGGAAACTTGACCCCACCCAACGCTTACTCGCGCTTCCGTGCGTGATGCCTGCTGAAAGTCTTCCGGAGGTCGCCGGAGGTGCTCCACCACGAGAAAGTAGTGAGCCAGCCGGCTAACTTGACCATTGTCTCGGAGTTACATGTATTGTCACCCAACCTCAACCAAATGAGCAGAATATTATGATCAGTATGACTGCACTATGCGATTACAAAAAACCAACTGAAAAAACTCGATAGATGGGGTCACTGTCTTCAGTCAAGGTGTGGGTGGTAGCGATTTGACAACCGTTGGCATCGGAGAAAGTTCTCAACCGCGAGTAGAGAAGACACTCAATAAAAGCGCAGTGCTTTTAAAGTAGAGTGGGAAGAAGTTTGATTATGTACGCTCCTAGCGGAAGGTTGTTGTTGATTAAAACTCATGAGGTTGCCTTGGAGAGGCATCTACTCTGACCGTGAATCAATGAGAGTGAAACCTCCTCAACTACACTCTTGTCTCCAACACTCCCGTCCTTGATTGCCAACTGCCAATCGCGTCGATTTATTTTGACTGAAGGTTGGATCAACTCACAGACATGATCGGTTAAGGAAAGCTGATGAAAACCTTAATCTCGTCATGAGCATTGAAACGAGCGTAGTAGGCCGGCACATCCTCAATCGAGATACTGGCCGAAGCGATGAAATGAGGGCTGGCCTTGCCGCTACTGATGAGCTCCACAAGCATCGGCGCGTACACCTTGGGATCGACGGGGCCAGCTTGGAATTTCAAGCGTTTACCAAAGAAGTCGGACAGAGGAAACTCGGCGATGGGAGAAAATGTGGACCCTAGAGGGGAGCCGGGCGAGTCTGGTTGCGCCATGTATACTCCAACTTGACCAATGCCTCCGCCGACATGGGTAAGGTTGACCATCTGATTCAGGATAATGTTGGGTTGATGCTCTAGAGTCGAGTTGAGAGCCTCGATGCCAACGCAGTCGACGGAGCGCATGACCCCGTTCGGTTCGGAAGCCATGATCTGGGCGACGGGGTCGCTGGCTGCGAAGTTGATGGGAATTGCGCCAATTGAAGCAGCGCGGTCGAGCCTGGCTTGGACGTGGTCGATCACATAGACCTTCGAAGCGCCGCGAAGAGTGGCCGAGTAGGCAGCCATGAGTCCGACTGGGCCGGCGCCAAAGACTGCCACCGTATCGCCTGTTTCAAAGCCTGAAAAGTCAAGACTTGCCCAACCTGTGGCGAAGATGTCGGAGATGGTTAGGTAGTCTTGCTCGATGGTGGTGTTCGTTGTCTCCCGTGTGAGCGGGATAGGGATTAAATTAGAGTCGGCGAATCGGACTCTGGCGTACTCGGCTAATTCATACTACATGTCAGTCTCGAAAAGTGCCATGGCAATGAATTAAAAGTTTTCTTTGATGAAAGCCATGGAGATTTGTCTTGAGGAGGGATGATGACTTACACTGGAGACCATCTGTGACAACAGCTCCATTACCGTAGAAATCCAAACCAGTGGGCTCCATCTCAAGCCGACCGTGGTTCACCGTGTCAGGAATGATGACGTAGTCACCAACTTCGAGCCCAGAGACTGCACTTCCAAGCTCAGAGATGTAGCCAATGGCCTCATGTCCCATGTTCCACGGGGGAGCGCCTCCTTGGTAGCCGCGATAGACGTGTAGGTCAGAACCACATAGAGCAGAAGTCGTGATACGGACTACGGCGTCGGTCTGGTTGAGAATGGTGGGCATGGGAATATTTTCCACGGTCATCTCACCGGGGACACCGCGGTACATGACGCCGCGCATGAAAGCGCCCAAGGTGTTGTTCAGAGCCATAGCGAGGAATATGAAATGTGACTGCTTGAGGTGAATGAGGAAGTAAGCTCTCCTTTGTCCCATCTAGGGATGCCATCTTTATATGTTGAAAGGCTTGGCTCTTAAATCTTTTGGTTGCTCCATTTCCTCGATACAAGGCTCTTCTGGCCAATATGGAAGGTATTCCGCAGCGTCTTGGCAATCGAGGCGGTGTTTTTGTCCGCGGTCTCGGCCACTGCTCCGGCATGCGTCAGATTTTGCATGAAGATAACCACAAACTCACGGGCCGACTCAGGTGCTTTACCTTCCCTAGTGCACATAGATAGCCTAGTGGCATTGGAGAATCCGCTTCCTGCCACAACCCGGGCTTGGCCTGGGCCCTGGGACCAAGCCAGCGTCAGCCTTTTAGTTATCTTAAGTCCGGCCAATTACTTGATATTTTTCGAGTACCTTGCTACTGAAGTACTGTGACCGCATACAGACTAGGATTACAGCCTTTTTTATGTGGTCAATATCCCTTTGAGGAAGTTCCTGAACCAGTTGAGTTACATTCCCAAGTCGTCATCTTCTCAAATTCATCCTATCTACCTTGGTTGGAAAAATTCGGCCGCGAAGCGAATGAGCATGCCCAATCCACAGTCAATCATGTCAAATAGCCTCTTACTGGGGCAAGGATACTGGTTGCATCACGTAGAACATGTGTTTGACTTGAAGAAGCCTGATGTTTATTTTTGTTGGGAGTGGCATTAGCTCTAGTCTCATCCGCTATCTTTCAAAGTGCTCACGCTTTCTCCGGCGTGGAAGTCGATAGATACACAATCAGAGCAGAACGATTCGTCCCAGAAATTCTTCCTATCCATTAGACAAACAAACTCATGCCCTTCAATACCTAAGGTGAACTGCACACCTACAAAATACTCCTCATATACGGGAAAGTATACGACACGATGAATAGAAGTGGAAGGAGAGGCATTTGAGGAATGGAGTTGATCTTGCTAGAATGCGCGAAAAACAAACGGGTGCTCAGGACTGAATTGATTGGTGCCACTTGTTATCGAGCAAAGTCACACCGCTGGGTCTTGCAAATGATCGGGGATGAGTCTGCAAATTCATCGTGTAAAATCTTCTAATCTTGGCGACAGGCTTTCTACTTATCTATATAAGCGATATCTCGGTGTCAAGAGCCACAACTTCAGTGATTAAGGAAAGTCCACCTCATTCCGATGAAATTGCCTTGGGGGCTTCAACCCAGTCAAACTTGCCCATCAGATTCGTCAGCCACACATCCCCGGGGTGGTAAGCTCCTTTGGGGGCGCCTCCAAAAAGGGAGGTGCCGCTCAGGAAAGTATGAGGGAATCCAGGATCGAACTCGTGAGAACCCTCAATCTCGCGAATATCATCCTCGGTAAGAGCGAGACCAAGTCCCTTGATGTTGCTTTCAATGTGACCTAGCTTCCGTCCACCCACAATAGGGAAGACAAATGGGGCCTTGTGCATGACGTAGGCGACTGCAACGTCGGGAAGCGACGCGCCCTTGGCGTTGGCGACCTTTTCCAAAGCCTTGGAAACCTTCTTATCGTGCTCCGAAACTTTGTTTTGTCTGCCCGGATTGTGCTTCTCGCGCTCCTTGAAGCCCTCCTCCGTCTGGAAGCGGCCGGCGTTGAGGACGCCCCAAGGGCAAAGACCCATGCCTTCGTCCAGGCACATGGGGATAATATCCCGCTCAAAGTCGCGCAGGGACGCGTTCCAGTTGCCTTGGTAGACGACGAATTGGCGAAGTCCTGAGAGACGGGCGTACTGATTTGCTTTGGCTACCACCCAGGCTGGGGTGTCTGAAATGCCCAAGTAGTGGACTTGGCCAGAAGAGACCAAATCATTGAGTGAGTGCATGACCTCAGGAATGGAGGCAGAATAGTCCCACCAGTGAAGATACAGAATGTCTATGTAGGTCGTTTGGAGGGCCTTCAAAGACCGGGCGACGGAGTGCTTCAACGACTTTGTGCTGTTGCCGCCGTAATTGGATTGAAGCTTTGACTTGTCATGGAGCTGGTAGGCACTACTGTACTTGGTGGCGAGCACAATGTCGTCGCGATTGCCTCGCGATGCGAGCCATTCGCCGACCCATTCCTCGGACTGGCCGGCCTGGTAATTGTTTGCGGTGTCGATGAAGTTACCGCCCTGAGAGTAATAGTGATCCATGATTTCGAACGCGGTCTCCTTGGTACACTCGCCCATTGTGGCTTTCTGCTTCTCTCCAAAGTTCATGGCGCCAAGAGCGAGGGGGGACACGCGAACGGCTGCCGTCGGGGAAAGCTGGCGATGCCGAGCCAGGTAGGTGTCTAGGGGTTGTTGAAGTTGAGGGGCCATATTGGATGGTTTTGTGTGTTCAGAAAGTAAGATATTTGATGGGACTGTTTCTAAAGCAACCGGTTGGCGCTGGTAAAATGAATGATGTGAGGTTTAGTGTGTATCACATATGTTATAGAAGAGCTGTCAGCAGTACTTATAACATTCTCTTTCATGACTGAGCACACTATCTTGTCATGGCACTGAGCAGGTTTCCCACAACAAGCTTTAGCGTGCTGCTCCAACATCGGCATTTGGCAGCGCAATGACTAGAATTAGATGCACACCATCGATCAACAGCATTCGGAATTAAGTTGGAGAAGTCCTAACGCATGGAGCGTACAACGGACGTCTCGCTGATATCGGCTGAAAAGGGTGAGGAATGTGGCAGCATGCTGATGCTATGACTACACGACCGCGGGTCTGGGACACGGATATGGCAAGTCGATTGGGCAGCAAGACATGATCCGATTCCGAGCTGCAGACGGAGATTGCTTCACCTTGGTGTGAGGAGGTGGACGGTAGTCCATTTCTGGCAGTGGACATTGGTTTCGTTGACAATATCCCCCTACAAACCGTAGCAAAGAGTCATAAGCTGCCCGAAAGCGACGTCAGCAAAGAGGATTGAACAGACTCGGATTTAAGAATGATGCTGTGATTTGACGGCTGTATGTTTAGTCGGGGAAAGGAATATGCTTCTTTGACGTTGATGGTTTACCTCAGCCTCGAAGCGAAGGTCCACTTGATCCATGCACACTACTGCAGCCTGCTGACGCGGTACGTACCGCTGTTTGATCACTACCCCAACTTCTCGTCCTGCAACCTGCTGACGCAAATGATTCAGCAACTGTAGACACCTCGGAATCCTTGTGACATCAGAGCGTTTCTGAAATCACTTATTGAGGTAAGCGTTACGGAAGAGAAACTTAGCTTCGGAAGAGGTTTAGTCCGGCTATCGCCTCGAAGAAGGTTTAGGTGTGTTGATTACCAATGTGAGTTCAGGTATCGTTGATACTCACACGCGTAACCTCTAATTCCGTGCTGTTGTTCACTATTGCTCACTTGAGATGTCGGCAAAAACTTGTAAATGCGAACATTGAGATAAATGTACCCAATGATATTCGCCTAGTTCAAACACTAGTTGTGTAGAAAATCATGACAGAAAAATGTGGGAATATCATTCGAGGAAGATCTCATTTGCTTGCTCGCTGGATAGAGGATTGAACCCTTCCAACTCCCAATTAGTCAAATTCTGAATGCCACAGATAGATGTAGTTCCGGAACAGGAAGGCAATATGCCATTGATCTAGCAGTGACAAAGTTGCTCAAGCTGCTTGGTGGCAACCGAAAACAAGTGACAGGTGTCTTCATCAAAGTGTCCTGAATTACTGACCGTCTATGTGACAGCGGTGCCCCGTGTTTTCCAAGTACTGATCCTCAACTCGTATATCACCAAGATTCAGAGCTATTCCAAGTCATAAGAGTGCAAGTGAAATGCATAATGAAATGTTGAAATTTCTCGGATATGATTAAGTTTTATTTATCAATTCGATATGTCTATGCAATGCTGAGAGATGATATCACGCCTACACTCCATCCCATTAATTATAATGCGAAATCAAACACCTTGCTTAGTGCAACCTCTTTCAAGAGTATGAGATGTACAAGCCATTATCGGCATCATCTTGCATGAACACCCGACCATCTTGTCCATTGTTAAGGTTGACTGCCAACTCCACAACGATTCTCTCCTCACACTTCACACTCGGGCCGCCGTGTGTCACGGGGGCGGAGAATTCAGGCTGGTCCCAGAATGTGAAATCCATGCCCGCCGAGAATTCGCTGCCTTCTTGAAATGGCGCGATGGTCGTGGGGTTGATCAGAACATTGCTTCCCTTGGTCCATGTTGGGAAGCCTTCGGACTTGAGCTGGCGTGAAGAGACGAGGCCGTTGCCGTCGACGCGGAACACACGGGTTTCAATTGGTCCTTGGCGCCAGCCGAGTGAGCAAGTCGTAGCCGAAGACGGAATGCCGGTGAAAATGACGACCTGGCGGGTGATGTTGGTGTGGAGGTCGAGATGCGGGACGTTGTCTGTGGGGTGGTTCGGTTGCGTGGCGGACTGATAGACGTTGAAGTGTTGAGGATGAGCGATTATGCCCGGTGTTAAGGCTGGAGTGCACTCGCGAGCTGCGTGGGGTAGCGACGCAGCGAGAGAAATGATGCTGCCCAGGGCGAGGATGAGCTTGGAAGACATTGTATTGCGTTGGAGCCAAGCCTGAATGATAGTACGAAGTATGTGTTGGGCAGGTTGGAGCAAGTTGTGATGCGACGAAACTCTGAATTAGAGAAGCTAGTTTGGAAATGAACTGTTGAGGTAGTGATAGTGGTGGCTAATCTGGAAAAGAGCCGTGGCTTTATGTATCACTGAAAGGATGGCCACCGCTCTCACGATGGCCGCATGATTGCTATGCTCGGTGAGGCTGGAGCTGGAGCTAAGGTGGGCTTCCGTTGGAAGAGTGTCACGACGGGCCTAGCCTGTATTACGGCTTGCGGCAGAGCTCGAACAAGCCTCGATGCAGACCTCAGTAAGTCCGCCAAGTGGTCCGCAGCAGATAAGCATAAACATAGGCTCCCGTCAATGGTGTCCAACTTCGCCTCGCAGAAGCTCTGGATGAACCACAGCGGGATCCGATGAACTTCAGCTGATCTCGATGATGCACGTGTTGGAAATGAAGCTAAGGGAAAGTGCAAGGCTAAGTGCGAGTCGGAGCACAGCATACATACAAAGTTGGAGAAGGATTAGGATCTAAATTTAGTCGTCAGCATTAGCGTGTGAAGGATTCAGTGGATGGCTTGGTGAGCGGCTGAGGCTTAGCACACAAGCTTGGTAGAGCAGACGCACAGTCGTCTGGAACCTGATTGAATTGAATCAAGTACCTTATGACATTACGTGTATATGAACCATGTGAGACTGGCAAAATATTAGTGCCATTTTATGTCTCGTTTTCTCTAGGGAGAACGACAAATCTCTTGTTAACTTCAATGCTCAAGTTGTGGCATTTGTAATTGAGCAAATGGAGTGGAAGCAGATGTCGTACTGGCGGCATCCTTTGCCTTAGTCATCACATGCTAGGTGATGGAAGCGGTAGCTGCTATCACTCAGGTAGCAATCTCTCACCGATCAAACAATTGGAGGTATGCCTCTACGCTTATGATACATTTGTCGGGAATTTAGGATGAACTGTTTCAAACTTGGAGGAAGTCACACTAATTTATCCCGAGACTTTGCTCGCATTAACCCATCTCCGACTTCAAGTCAGGAGCAGAGGGAAAACCAGTGAACCTGTTTTACCCCGCTTCTGACGATATCACACAATGTCACAAACACCTCAGCTTCTACTGGACAGCCCTACCCTCCTTGAATGCGCTTTTTGCCAGGGCCTTGGATTGAATGGAATCAGTCGAGATCATGGCTCGAATCTGTCGAATCTTGTCATAGTTGACTTACGTCAAGTGCGCAGCCGTTCCAGTGATGGGTGCGTTGGATGCTCCATCATTGAAAAGGCATTGGCACACTTGTCTCCCGAATGGAGAAACTTTACGACTCGCTCTAAGTGTGAACAATGTCGGCCAGAAGCCTTTAGACTGTGTAGGACAGGCGACTGCGCCAAGTCGGCGTTTGCTCTGCTTCCATTGGTGGAAACGACAGAGCTGTGCTACCCATTTCACATACTCGATGATCTAGCCGCTGGGCCTGGGAGGAACCTTGAGCTGTTCATCAAGAAAGGCAATGCCCCTGGACGCCCAGAGAAAGGAATGTTGCCGCTAATAAAGATGTCTTAGGGCGGCCACTCAATGTTGAAGAAACTATTCTCCTGACTCAAGGGCGAAGTTCTGAACAGAGCTGGCAGGGGAGGCTGCAACAAGCAAATTCATGGATCCATCATTGACTCAATAACCATCAATGCAGTAGTGAATTAGCAGCCAAGACATTTCAAGAAGACTATGAAAATGTAGTTGGTGGCAAAAATGAGAAGCATTCAGAAAAAGGTGAAAGCTCGGGCGCGAGTCTTCAAAAAACTCCATTTCTTGAGGTTCACCGCCAGATCTCAAAATTACCTCGAAGAGTACTTGATCTTCGACAGTTTGGTTCAGAGAAACGGCTGCGTCTCATGGATTCTATGGCGGATTGTGGTGTTTATGCCTCTCTGAGCTATACATGGGGTCGACAAAATACGGCTGTGACAACAACACAGAATCTTTAAGATCGCCTAGACGACCTCCCGTTCGACAGTCTTCCCCAAACATACAAGGACGCCGTCACGGTTACTGCATTCTTGGATATTCCCTTTTTGTGGATTGACGGTCTTTGTATCATTCAAGGCGATACCGACTCAAAAGACTGGGCCGAGCAGTCTTCACAGATGGCGGAAATCTACGGAAACGCAGTTCTGGTGATCGCGGCTGCTGATTCCAACAGTGTTGAGGAAGGCTTCCTCTCTACACCACAGCTGCCACGAGAACTCGTCAAATTCCAATCTTCGGCATTGGGAAGTCTGGAGAATGGGAGCGAAGGAACTGGCTTGAGCGTGTTTGCCAGAGCTATGCTGGTCCACAGTTGGCTTGGCTGGTCCACATTGGCGGAACCAAAATCCCACGGGACACTGAGCCGCAGCTGGTGTTTCCAAGAGGAAGTCCTTGCATCTCGACTCCTCACCTTTTTTGGAGGCGAGATGAACTTCCAATGTCTTGAAGACGAATACCCATGCGAATGTGCATTCCCCGCCGCACCCCTGGGCCTTGTCACGATCAAGGAGCTGTACGAGCCTCGCTTGGAACTAGGCGATATGGAAACTCCAAACTGGATGTGGCAGAGTACCGTCGAGCACTACACCCGACGGAAGTTGACGGTGGCCACCGACAGGCTTACTGCACTATCTGGAGTCGCCCGGGTCGTGCAGTCAAGTCTCCGAACAAAGTACGCTGCCGGTCACTGGCTAGATCGCGACTTTCTGTGCAGCTTGTGTTGGGCGCCTGTAAGAAACAGGGAAACCGAGCGTACCTACTCACAAGATTACGTTGCTCCGTCGTGGTCTTGGGCTGCCCATAACGGACCTATCACCATGTGGATCCCTTATCGCGGTTCGGAAGAGCCAGTCACTCCGCGCTTTCTCAGTAAAACCGTTGTCCGCAATGTCGGCATCATCCCAGCAACAGAAGATGAAACGGGCGCGGTGATTGGGGGAGGTATAACTGTTAGCGGCGTCTTTCTCGACATTTCGGTGCTCATGACATCACGAGATCAATCCGCAGGCGTCATGGTAAGAAGCTCAGAGAAAATCCCGTTTTACTTCGATCGACCAACGGAAACAGTGAGAGACACTGACAAGTACTTTTGTTGGATTGTTTGCACATTGCCGAGCCCGTCTGTTAGTAAGAAGAGATCTGAAACATACTGTTTGATGGTACTCCGCACTATGCCTGGCGGACCTGCTCATTTTTGCGAGCGCGTAGGTTTCACCGACTTTGATGGAACAGCTTCCGACCCTTCTATGAAGTTTTTTAAAGGGTTTAGAGACTCTATTAGAACTGCTGTAATAATCTGATGGGTTTACATCCGAAATAGGGGTCTTGGTCAAGAGTCATATAGCAAATTCAACATGTGTGTTTTTGAGGTTGAATGGGTGCTTGAGCTATCACTCTCGCATCTCTGCAATATTCGCTTTGGGATTCGTTGGAAAAAGCGTTCTTGTCAGGCAGGGCCCACCATCTCTTCAGCTATCGATACTCTTTACGGAGTAGCGAAGGATAATTTTGCCCTGAGTGATTTGGTTGGAATCCGGGTAGCTACTAGATATCAGACCCGAGTCATGGGAACAGAACGCCAGGGCCATGTAGGAGAACAAGTGCAGTCTCGGGATTCGACTCAGGGGAACGTTCGCTTAAGACTTGGCAGCTGAATGGGACGGAGGTGACATTTATTAATACCCGATGTTTCCATCCCATCTCAGATTCTTCCTGGGCACGGATGACGTACAAACCACCAATTAAGGAACATGGGCTTGTGCTGGAGTTTCAGATGGTCGATTTCCCGGAATTCCCTGTAATCCTTCCCGCTTGCCCACAAAGCGTTACTCTCAAGTGTCAGAGCGGTAGGCAGAAAAAAAGGGGGAGCTTTGCCAAAGCCGGGGCACTCAACCAATCAGCTTCACGTAGAGGCGGATTACTGATACTTTGAAACTCTCGGTAAAGTCCTGGCTGTATCAATGACTTCAGTTGCAAAAACGAAATTGTAGAAAATGCAAAAAGGCGAAGTGTGTTGAAGATGAATAGTATATCAGTAACCATGGTTGTGGCAACTGAATCTCGTCATGTGATATAATTCAGACGTGCGTTTGGTGATTTTCTCTTAGAGCTATCCCTCCCCGTGCATTTCCTGTCTCGTTCAAGAAAGACTGAAATAAGCCCACAGAGCTTCGCACATCAGCTCAGCCTCATTAGAAGCGGAAATAGAGAGTACAAAGTGGCGCGTCAAGGATCATGTCCCGTGGCGGAGGCGGTTCAGTAAGGGGCTCCGGGGGGCACCTATGCCATTTTAGCCTACATCACCCCGCCCGGAGCGGAGGAAGCAAGGAAGCTTTTGCCTAGACCATCCCACCGGATTCTGCCGCCGCGTATGCTGTGGTGTACCGTACGCGTGGTTCATTCTTTCAGCCGATCCTGATAATCTGAGCTTTCTATTGTTGAGCACATGGGGGTTCGCGAGACCTCCTATATTTCATAGCGATAGAAGCCTGCATTGAAAAAGTAATTGTGACAGAAAATTTGGGCTTTTCCGACGTCACATCGCTGTTGGTCAAATCTTTTTACGGATCTTGCCTGCCAATGAGACAGGAATCCAGTAGCGAAGTCCACAGAACACTTTAGGAAACTTCCTGAACAATATAAGGCATATTCATTGGAGCAGCTCCGCAATAGCCTTATGAGATTCCAGCCATGAAGGGTATTATATGAAAATCGGCGTAAGACGTCCGGTATGGCCGAGTGGCCGGAACGGTGGGGGCGCGGCCTCTTCCGAGGCTGGACCCGGTGGACGGGTGAACGTGACGTGACGGGCTGTCCGCAAAAAAGTTCGAAGGGGGAAAGAAAGGAAAATCCCGCTCCGCCTTGCCCTACGGATGCCCGATGCCTGTGCGTTTTTTCAGGGTTCGATTCGGCTCGTGCATGTTCATCCCACATTCCGAAACGAATTTCGCTGGTTGACGTAGGTGCCATCTAGGATGGACCTCATTCTAGAACAGACGAAAAAGGCACTGCCGTTGGCGATTACAAGGCCAATGCCTGTTTCTTCTTCCAGACTCCCACCAACCGCGCGGTTGCATAAGGAAGTTGTGATGATAGATGAGCAACTACGTACACAGGTGGAGTCTCAGCCTCAGTGGCCTGAGCCGCGATATGGGATGATGGGGATGGATGTTGGTGGTTTTGTTGGTCAAGAAGCTTTTTTTTACCAGGTTTTCGGGCGGGGAGATCACGTTGTGCCACGGATCTCCCGGACAGAGATTCATCAAAGTTGGCTCACTTTGCTCTAGATAAATAAGGAACTTGAATCCCGCTAGAGAACTTCTGCTCAGACACTCATCACTTCTAACTCAAAGTAAAAGTAATCACTCTTACCTCAGTCCGTCACTACTACAAGCTACTTACAGCTTCAAACAATCGTTCAGCAACTACTCCCTAAAATATCACGAGAATGCAGCACATCGGAAGCCTTCTTTTGGCCTTTGCCACCCTCACCGCGGCAGTTCCAGGACTTGCTCCGGCCAGCGTGAGGTCTGCTAAATCTTCTCACGTTCGCCGCGCCGACACCAGCTCTTTCCAGATCTACGCTTATGGCACTGGAATCGGTGGCCTGGCATTGTTCACTGCTGGAGGTAAGCTATTCCCCCGACTTAAGCTTTGTCTACAAAACTGTAAACTGCCGGTCGATACCACCTGAAGATGGTCCCGAGTCTTCACCTAGTGTCTCTTCAGATGCAGGAACTTTACCGCCAGTTCGGCTCGGCCTAGGCCCCAACTGCCGAGACATACCCTTAGACTAACACTCATTTGCACAGGCGATGCCTACTTTGGAGACTACACTCAGTTCAACGACTCCAATGCCGCCCCAGTAATCTGTAAGTACCAGCTACCCCACTTTCCTTTCTCGGTGACTGCGGGACTGACCGGACGATCGATGACAGTCACCCCTGAAGAAGATGATACTGAGACATGGCTTGGAGCCCCTAACACCACCGCTGTGACTACCGCTCCTACCTGGTCCAACCTCACCTTCACCATCCCGACCGCCGACTCCGGCGTGCACAATGTTGCTTTCCTCAATAGCAGCGCGTCCACAACTGGCCGTAAGACCAGCGGTTTCAGCTTTTACGGCAACTTTGTGCTGGTCGAGGCCGAGGATGGTAGCTTTGAGTCTTGGTGGTATGCTACCGCCACCGACATCGATGGCATCTACAACCTGAGGTGGAATGAGACCGGCGATGACACCGATGACAAGATCATCTTGAACTTGAGAAGGACTGCTCCTTCCAACTAGGCTCTCAGCCATCTTTGGATTCTGTGTTTATCTGGTACAAGTCAGGCTGGTGTTATCTTGCGGTTTGATGAATTTTAGCTCCGATCGCAAAGGTAATCACTTCAAGGAGTGAAGCGGGTTTGGGCCTAGCAATGGCGCAAAAAGATGGAGTGTTTAGGATGGTGCAGATAGAACTTCAATTGTTTTCTACAGTAAATTTATGACTCTCATTGAGATGATCTTTGGTGTTCCATAATTTGAAGGCCTCTAGTGAAAACCAGAGAGCGCGTCGTATTAATGCAGGCGAAGTAAATCATCAACCTGTAAGGAGACAATTACCTCCAGATCGTGATGACGAATTACCTTCTGCCAGACCTTCTAATTCCCCAAGTACGTAGAGATATCACGACGGCTTCGGCCTCGTGGTCCCGGAAGTGGTTTGTTGTCGCCCTCGTCATATCGATATGCCCCACCCCCACAACCCGACGTGAATTCTTCACCCATGTTCTTGCCGAATCGGTCACGACATAACCCCCTTTGCCGCACACCTCTTTCCCCCTCCATCCTGAAGGATCTGACTATTTGGCGACTGTGACTGAATCTTACTAGGGCTTTTGTCGTCAGTTCATAGAGGGCGGCGCATGTGCTTTCTCCAATGGATATAGCCAGTATTCAACCCGCTTTGTAGAAGGCTTTTGAGAGAGAGCGAATATCAGACACACGCCACCGCAGCCAGCACGCATAACGTTCGCCCGCCCCTATTGTCCTTGCCTAGGGAGGCGTGACACAAAGATGCAAAGACATCCAGTGTGTCTACCAAGCTTACCAGTACTCTCGATGAAGGTGACTATTCCTTCAAGTGCAAGATAACTTTCAAATGTATGTTGATGTCTCTTACATCCCTAGTTTTGAGTTCGAGAAAATGAAAGAAATAAAACATGTATGACTAAAATTGGCTATTGCTTCAAAAAAAATGTATTCACGTGGTTCGCAATGGGACGGCCAAGACAAATTTGATACGCTAGGCACCCTCAAGGTAGATTATGGATTCCACCGCTTCTTTTTGACCTCAAAGTTGAAGTTTTACTCTGTATACCAATCTGTATCTTTTAAGTGAACATCCGCCATACATCTTTTACATTGACCATAGATAGAACGAGAGCTTTTATCAGTACAGATGCATCAATCTCAACACGAACCCTCCGTCTTTCCGGTCACAACTCGTTAGAATCCACTCCACTCTCTTCATTCCCAAGTACATCTGTTTCTTTGTGTGCTGCAGCAACTTGCTGAGCAATCTCGGTCCAAAATCCACACACCTTCTTGGTGTTCTGGTCGTCTGACTGATCTAGTAGGAATGCAGGCTGGCCGATAGGCGCATACACTGTGAGTACATTCTTCAGTTGGTCTCCATTACTACTATCAGCAACGGGCCACTTTGGCGGATCTCCCTTGAGTACATGCGGCATCGGGAGCGTATTCGGGTCGCCACCTGACAGAGCAAAAGATGCGAAGTAGGTCTGGTATGCCTGAGCCACGTGCGTATTTACAAGAAGGGAAGCATACTGCGCGGCGAAGGGGACCTTGTTCTTCAACAGGATGTCCTTGGCTTCTTTGACGTTGTTGGAGAAGAGAGCCACTAAATCCGCCGCGTGGCGGGCAAGCTGGCCGATGGGAAATCCGTATCGCATCATATGCGCTATGCTTGGATATGCGGAGTACAGATCGCGGGTGTTACAAACAAAGCTGGCGTCGCGAATTACGGTGGCGATGCAGAGCCGATAGTCGCCATTATAGGGGAATTGGGCACATGGGTATTGGGTGGTTATTTGTTGGCGTTGAGGCGCGAGCTTGGCTCCTAGCAGGAAGATGTGGAGGAATTCGTTAAATGTGTCGGAAGAAGTCACCCACGACGAAGTAAAAGAAGCGCTCTCATTCAGAGTGTGCGAGACGATAAGTGACTGGATGGACTTCCAATAATTACCTGAGGGCACAGCATTAGCGAGCATATAAAACGAAAAGGTGATCATCGCAAAGCACATGATCCAACACTCACCACTTGCAAATGAGATGGTTGGAATTGTGGTGATCCATTTCCCGTCCACAGCTGGTCCAACAGGGAAAAGACCCGTCTGTCTAACAGTGTTGAAGAGCTGCTGGTTTGCTGCTGTCAGGTTGGTGGACTTCCTCAAACAGTCGATATCAAAGGTCAAGCCACAGCCAGCAAGACTAGAGAAGTTCTGGTAAACCTGATCCAACTTGCCCTTCGGTTTATTGTCCCACGCCCATTCGAATGCCGGGCTCTGGATAGCAAAAGTTTTGA